GAGATATGGTCTTGTTTCAGTTTTTTGCACATAGATACCCAGTTATACCAGCACCATTTGTTAAAGAGACTGTTTTTTCCCCAATTAATGGACCTTGGGCCTTTGTCAAATATTAGCTGCTCATAGGTGGATGAACTTATATCTGGATTCTCAACTCTGTTCCATTGGTCTGTGTATCTGTTGTTGTACCAGTAGCAGGCTGTCTTGACTACCGTGACAGTATAATGGGTCCTAAAATCAGGTAGTGTAAGGCCTCTGACTTTGTTCTTCTTCTTGAGTAATGCTTTATTTATTCGGGGCCTCTTCCCTTTCCATATGAAGTTGGTGATTTGTTTCTCCATTGCATTAAAAAATGCCGGTGGAATTTGGATCGGGATTGCATCGTATCTGTAGATTGCTTTGGGTAGAATTGACATTTTCACTATGTTGTGTCTGCCTATCCATGAGCAAGGTATATTTTTCCACTTATGCAGGTCTCTTTTAGTTTCTTGCAGTAGTGTCTTGTAGTTTTCTCTGTAAAGATCTTTTACATCTCTGGTTAGATTTATTCCTAAGTATTTTATCTTCTTGGGGGCTATTGTAAATGGTATTGATTTAGTGATTTCGTGCTCGAGGTTCTCTTTGTTGGTGTAAAGGAATCCAACTAATTTTTGTATGTTTATCTTGTATCCTGCAACTTTGCTGAAATCTTCTGTTAGTTCCAGTAGTTTTCTTGTGGATTCTTTGGGGTTTTCTGTGTAGTAGAAGATCATATCATCTGCAAATAGAGATACTTTGACTTCTTCCCTACCAATTTGGATGCCCTTTATTTCTTTTTCTAGCCTAACTGCTCTGGCTAGGACCTCCAGCACAATGTTGAATAAGAGTGGCGATAGAGGACATCCTTGCCTGGTTCCTGTTCTCAAGGGGAATGCTTTCAAAGTCTCTCCATTTAGGATGATGTTTGCTGTTGGTTTTGTGTAAAAGCCCTTAATTATATTGAGGAATTTCCCTTCTATTCCTATTTTGTTGAGAATTTTTATCATGAATGGGTGTTGGACTTTGTCAAATGCCTTTTCTGCATTGATTGATAAGATCAGGTGGTTCTATAGCTTGTTATTTAGAAAGAATAGTGATAAATAGCAGAAAGAACAAGTGAAAGGGTTTAAGCGGTTGCCTTAGGAGAGTGGGAATTGGTAGTGGGGAAGTTGTGGCAGGCCATTGGAATTTTTTAAAAAAAATTAACTTTATAAAGATATAATTTCCATATAGTGAAATGTGTCCATTTTAAGATAACAGTTTTATGAGTTTTGACAGTTGTATATACTTTATAGGAATGACCACAATCAACATGTAATATATCCATGACCCTGCAACCATTTCCTTGTGCTGCTTCCTAGTCAGTCCATCCCACTCCCTGGCTCCATCCAACCACTGATCTGCTTTTAGTTATTATAGATTAGATTTGTCTTTTCTAGAGTTTCATACAGATGGAATCATATCGTATGTAATGTTTTGTTTTTGGGATTTTGCTCAGCATAATCTTTTTGTGATTATTATGTAATTGCATATAAAGGTATTTTTTGTCTGAGTAGTATTTCATTTTATGGATAGACCACAATTACCTGTTGATGAACATGTGGATTGTTTCCAGTTTTTGGCTATTATGAATAAAGTTACTATGAACATTCATGTACAAGTCTTTGTGTAGGCACATATTTGAGCTTTGACATTTCAGTCTGTGATCTGTTGTGAGTTAATTTTTTGTTCGTAGTGTGAGGTAAGGGTGAAGTTCATTTTTCTTCCATATGACTATGCAGTTGTTGTGGCGCCATATGTTGTAAAGATGATTATTCCCATTAAATTACGTTGGCACTTTTGTCCAAAATCAATTGATCATATGTGTTCAGTCTGTTTCTAAACTCTTACCTGTTACATTAATCTGTATTCCTATTTTTAATATTAATACCACACTGTCTTGATTACTTTAACTTAAATAGTAAGTTTTGAAATCAAGTAAGATTTAAAAAGAACAACTTTGTTCTTTTTCAAAAGTTGTTTTGGCCATTCTAGGTCCTTTGCCTTTCTAGAATTAGCTTTTCTATGAAAATAAAAGGCTGCTCATATTTTGATTGGGATTACATTAAATCTGTAGTTGAATTGGGAAGAACTATCATCTTAAAAATACTGAGTCTTACATTCTGTGGGCATAGTATATCTTACCACTTATTTAGGTTTTCCTTAATTTCTCTTGGCAGTGTTTTGTAGTTTTCATCTACAGTTCTTGTACATATTCTGTTATGTTTATTCCTCAGTGTTTTGTGTTTTTTTGATGTTATTGTAATGGAATTGTTTTTTTAATTTCCATTGGCATTGCTCATCACAGTATATAGAAATACAATTGATTTAGTTTGCTGAATTTGTCTCCTGTTACTTTACTCATCTCGTTTATTAGTTTTAGTGACTGTTTTATAGATTTCTTAGGATTTTCCTTGTATACAGTCATGTTGTCTGTGAATAGAGGCACTTTTCGTTTATCCTTTTTGATTTTTATGCCTTTTGTTTTTTTTCTTGCCTTATTACCCTGACTAGGACTTCCAGTACATTGTTGAAAAGAAGTGGTGAGAATGGACATACTTTATTTGTTCCTAACTTTAAGGGTTAAACATTTAGCCTTTTACCATTAAATATGATGTTAGCTGAAGGTTTTCTGAAGATGCTTTTTATGAGGTTGAGGACGTTCCCTTGTAGTTATAGTTTACTGATAGTTTTTTTTTTTTTTAAATCATGAATGGGTATTAAATTTTGCTTTGTCTTTATCCATAAGATGATTATATGATTTTCATCCTTATTCTGTTACCATAGTGAATTATATTGACTGATTTATGAGTGTTAAATTAGTCTTATATTCCTGGGATAAACTGCACTTGATCATGCTGTATTATCCTTTATTTTGCTGATTTTTGTTAAGGAGTTTTGCCTTTGTGTTCTTGAAGTATACTGGTCTTTAGTTTTCTCGCAGTGTCTATTGCCTGGTTTTGGTGTCTGAGGGAGTCTCTGGGTGGTGCAAGAGGTTAATGAGCTCAGCTGCTAACCTAAAGGTTGGAGATTCAAGTCTACCCAGAAGTGTCTTGGAAGAAAGGCCTAGAGATATAGTTCTGAAAATTCAGCCACTGAAAACCTTATAGAGCATAGTTCTACTCTGATGCACATGGGGTTGCTATGATATTTGCTGTATAAAACAAGTTGGGAGATGTTTTAACGAATAGTATGCTGAGAAAGAACAGCCAGAATGCTCTTTAGAAGTGAGGATAGTGAGACTTTATCTCGCTTACTTTGAACACGTCATCAGGAGGAATTGAGCAGTTGCTGGAGACATCATGCTTGGGAGAGTAGAGGGTCAGTGAAAAAGAGGGAGACCCTCAATGAGTTGGATTGACACAGTGGCTGCAACGGTGGGCTCAAACATAGCAGTGGTTGTGAGGATGGTGCTGGACTGGGCAGCGTTTTGTTCTGTTAATACATACTGTTGATATGAGTCGGATCTGACTCGACAGCACCTAACAACAACAATGCTGTTAAGTGAATAGATTTTTTATATACCATAGTCCACTGTTATATAATTCAGCTTATATATAAAACCAATACCTTGTTTTTTTTTTTTGTTTTTTTTTACTATTTCTGTTATTGTATATCTCAGAAGCTTGTGGTGTAAGAAACACAAGTCAAACTAACTGGTATAAAAATATAATTTATTAGCTCAGTGACTAAACTATAGGGCTTCAGTGACTAAACTATAGGGCTTCAGGCTTGGCAGGATCCAAGTCTGCAAATGTTATTGTCAGGAATATGATATGTCTTTGTCTTTTTCCTTTCGTTATTTAGTTCTCAGTATTGGGAGAGAACCCTCATAAGCTCTAGGATTACATATTAGATTCGAGATTGCAGAAGGAGAGAATCCTTCCCAGTGATCCCCTCCCATTATCTCCCAGTGTCTATATCAATATGTATAAAAGAACTTGATTGCCCCTACTTGAATCACATCTACCCAATCACTTGTCTAGGGTAAAACCAAAACAAAAAAAAAACAGGAAAAAACCCAAACCAGTTGCCTCCGAGTCAGTTCCGACTCCGTAGGGTTTTCAATGGCTAATTTTTCGGAAGTAGATTGTCCGTCAGGCCTTTCTTCCAAAGTGCCTCTGGGTGGACTTGAACCTCCAACGTTTTGGTTTACACCACCCTGGGACTCCTTGTCATGGGCAGGGGTTGGCAAATTGCCAACCGGCCCACAGTCTGTTTTATTAAGTTTAATTGGGAACACAGACATGGTCATTTGTTTACTTATTGTTTACTTATTTTGTGTTACAATAGCAGAGTTAAATCGTTGGGACAGAGGCTGTGTGGTCTGTAAAGCCTAAAATATTTACTGTAAAGAAAAAGTTTGCCGACCTCTGATCTAAGGATAAAGGGCCCTGTAGCCAGGCTGGGTTAATTGTTGGTAGAATCAGTGCCCTTTGATTAACAGCTCTCTCATAATCACAGTGAAGGAAGGACAAAACCAAAAACCAAACCTGTTGCCGCCAAGTTGATTCTGACTCATAGTGAGGCTATAGGACAGAGTAAAACTGCCCCATAGAGTTTCCAAGGAGCACCTGGTGGATTTGAACTGCCAGCCTTTTGGTTAGCAGCCATAGCACTTAACCACTACGCCATCAGGGTTAGCTGTTCCCAAAAGGAGTAGTAGTTCATAAAAAGAAAGAATGCCAAACACTTTTCCTCCCTAATAAAAAGTAACTCGTCCATCATTCCCAATTTTTTTTCTGTTGTGTAGAACAGGGTAAAAATGGTTACGTTGAATTTTCACACTGATAAAAATGTTAATGGAATAATATACGAATATGGGAGATACAGGAGAATAGATAAGGATGTATAGTGTGATAGCATCCCTAAGTTACCTGAAATATAAAAATAACAGTCTTCGAATGATCTAAATTGATGGATTATAATTTTTCTTTTCTCAGATGATGAAACATGCATGGGATAATTACAGGATATATGGATGGGGACATAATGAACTCAGGCCTATTGCAAGGAAAGGACACTCCACTAACATATTTGGTGAGTTTCTTTTTCTAATTACTATTTTCATTTTCTTCCTCCATTTTTAAAAACAGAATCTAAATTTTGAAGTACTTTCTATAACCTGAATATTTCTATGCAACTAATTTAAAGTAACATGCTTCTCATCTCACAATGTGGATGAAATTTGGAGGGCATTATGCTGAATGAAATAAGTCAATCACAAAAGGACAAATATTGTATGAGACCACTACTATAAAAACTCATGAAAAGATTTACATACAAAAAGAAACAATCCTTGATGGTTAGGAGGGAGAGAGGGGTCGGGAGGGAAAAACACTAACTAGACGATAGATAAGTGGTAACTTTGGTGAAGGGTAAGACAGTACACAGTACTTGGGGAAACCAGCACAGCTTGTACAAGACAAGGTCATGGAAGCTCAACAGACACATCCAGACTCCCTGAGGGACCAAATTACTGGGCTTAGAGCTGGGGACCATGGACTGGGAGAACATCTAGCTCGATTGGCATAACATAATTTAGAAAGAAAACGTTCTACATTCTACTTTGGTGCGTAGCATCTGGGGTCTTAAAAGCTTGTGAGCGACCATACTCCAGTGGTCTCATCCTGTCTGGAGCAAAGGAGAATGCTGAAAGCCAAGGACACAAGGGAAATATTAGTCCTTAATTGACCACAAGTGCCACAACCTCCACCAGACAAAGTCCAGCACGATTAGATGGTGCTCAGCTACCACCACCAACTGCTCTGACAAGGGATCACAATAGAAGGTCCTGAACAGAGCTGGAGAAAAATGTAGAACAAAGTTCTAACTCAAAAAAAAAAAAAAGACCAGACTTACTGGTCTGACAGAGACTGGAAAACCCTCGAGAGTATGGCCCCTGGACACCCTTTTAGCTCAGTAACGAAGTCACTCCTGAGGTTCATGCTTCAGCCAAAGATGAGACAGGCTCATAAAACAAAACGAGACTATATGGGCACACCAGCCCAGGGGCAAGGTCGAGAAGGCAGGAGGTTACAGGAAAGCTGGTAATGGGGAACCTAAGATCAAGAAGGGGAGAGTGTTGCTATGTCATGGACTGGCAGCCAGTGTCACAAAACAATATATGTATTGTTTAATGAGAAGCTAGTTTGCTCTGTAAACCTTCATCTAAAGTACAATAAAATAAAACATAAAAAATGAGATGAAAATAAAGTTGTTTTATGATTATAAAAAAAATAAAGTAACATGCTGCTTTTGCAGTCAAGATGTAGTTATAGTTGCTTTGGAATACAGATATGTGGTCAGTTTTCTATTAAATTTCAAATCTAATTAGTCATTTATTCTGAGTATTTTAAAGTTTTTTCCTGCATTTTTTGCTCTTATGTCAGGTAAGGTAGGTACCTATTTGTAATTTTTTTTTATTCAACACAATGCCAGTTCTGATACTTGTACATTATAGACGAACAGGGGAAGAATAGGAAATTCAATAGTGCTATGTACGTTTAAAAAAAAAAAGATAAAAGAAAATTACCCAAGGTGATTTGGTTGGTAAATTGAGTGGGCTATTGTTTGCATCCATGGTTCCTAGGGAAAAATTAATTGTGTGTAGGGGGATGTAGGTGTTGGAAGAGTGCTTTGTTCATCCTGAGTTCGTTCTAACTTTCTGCCTCTCTTGAATTCAATCCCCTTGTTTAACTGGGAATATATATCCACGGATAAGTCTTGAGAATTGTCAACATACTCTTTGTAGTCTTCTCTCCCTTTCCCCTTTTAAAAATTTTTTTGATGTGATAAACATCTTTTAAGTAATGATGGATGAAGGCAACAAAATATTAATGGGGTGAGAAAGCGCATATGCTAGTCATCTGCAATGCAGTTTGTTTTTACTAATTGTAATGCTCTATCAAAGTAATCCAAATAACAGCACTTTTCTTTGATTGTGACTCTGTGGAAGAATCAGAATTTCCTTATAATGTGTTTGCTATTGCTTGGTTGTTCTCTGTCAAAAATGAAAATGGCTTAAAAGATAATTTCTCCGGGGTTTGAGAGATGTTGGAGTTGGGAGATAAATTTCTTTCCTTTAGATAATCAGTGACACCAGCGATCTGTAATTTGACGTTTAATTTAGCAGCTGTGATTTAATGAAAAATAGTACTTTTCCTTAACAGAAGTTACAAATTGAAAAGTTCCCATGGCTTTGTAGATGCCACAGTATGAGACATTAGTGCATTAAAATAAATTGTATTTACTGGTTAATTAAAACTAGTTCCCCCTTTCAAGTAGCTATCCTTTTATATTAAAGTCCGTGGTAAACTGTGAGTCCTTGAGAAGGATTAGAGTATAAACATGTATTGAAAGTGAGAGTTAGATGTTAATTTTTCTACTTGTCTTTTCAAACCACGTTTCTCAAACATCTAATGCATTAACATTTATCAAATAACTACTGGTGGTAGGTAAATAATATACATTATTTCATTCTAATCATCACAACTATATAAGGAATGATTTTTTTTTTTAATTTAAGTTCAGAAGCTAAGTGAACATTCAGGTAACTTAAAATTTCATTCTTTATAAGTCAATATATGTATTTTAGTGAGTGGAAGGGTTATTTCTTTCTTAACTGAACATAATTATGTTAAAAAATCCTAATGGAGAAGTTTTGACTTAATGGTTTTTCTTTTTAAAAATAGTAGCCTTAAAAAAAAAAATAGTAGCCTTTGTTTTTCATGAAAGGTGGTTTTAATTTGTGGTAATTCCATCAGGCTGCTTCAAATGTGAACTTTGTAGATTACAGGTAGTCCCTGATTTATGACATATTTGAGTTACAATGAACTTTTTTTTTTGTATCTTATCGTTAGTAATATGTACTACATACAGTCTTGCGCCATGTAATTTGCTGATGTTATCATTCTCAGATGTTCAATGTTGTGATTTATAAAGATACTGATAATAAAAGGCAATACTAATGAAAACAAAAAAAAATGAGATATTTGGCTTATGTCAGAACTGACTGAGGACAGAGTCTTTGGAATGGAACCCCGTCATAAGTTAGGGACTACCTGTATTATTTGGTTAGGTTGAACATGATGACTGGGACATGGCAGGGTTCAGGTTGTCCTCAGGAGAGTTCTTGCCAGCTGGTCATTGGGAGCATTTAAGTTGATTTAAACTGAGAGTCATTTGTACGTTCAGATAAGGTAAGGGAGACTAGAGTTGGAAGGAGTCCCTGAGTGGCACAAACAGTTGAGAGCTTGACTGCTAACTGAAAGGTTGGAGGTTTTAATCCATCCAGAGGCATCTCAGAAGAAAGGCTTGGTGATCTAATCCTGAAAGATCACAGCCATTTAAAACCGTATGCACATTTCTACTCTGAAATATATGAGGTGGCCATGAGTTGCAATTGACTAGACAGCAACTGGGTTTTTTTTTTTTTTTTTAATTGTAAAGGGAGTCTTTACAGATTATCTCTTTCATTCTCAATTAACTGGGTTCAGTAGCAAGATTTTGCCAGTGATCCTCCATTTCAGAGGGAATATAAGGATATTCCAATAAAAGACTTTTACTTTCTTTGCTGCTACTCTGGCATGAAGTCAGTTATTTACTTAGAGATTCTGTAATTGGATGTGTGAATAAAACTATATTTTAGAACAATAGTCATAAACACATTAAATAATAACGTCAATGACATTTACATAGTCCATACTATATGCCAAAGACTGATGCGATTTATGAGAATGAACTTATTTAGTACTAACAACAACCCTGTGGGAAGAAACCAAACCTGTTGCCATCAAGTCAATTCCAACTCATAGTGACCCTGTAGGACAGAGTAGAACTGCCCCATAGGGTTTCCAAGGAGAAGCTGGTGGATTCGAACTGCCGACCTTTTGGTTAACAGCCATAGCTCTTAACCACTGTGCCCTATGAGGCAGGTATTGCTATTATTGTTCTCATTTTTACAGATGAGGAAACTGAAGCACAGAGAGATTTAAATAACTTGCCCAAGATCACAGTTAGTAAATAATAGAGCCAGAATTTGAATCTATGCAGTCTGGTGCCAAGGTCCGAGCTCCTAACTGCTATTCTATACTGTTTTAGTAAACCTTAAAGGTAGAAAAATATTGATACCAGCACACAGGAAAAATCTATTTTAAGAAGAAAATTATAGTGAACACGGTAGAAGAAGTGAAAATGCAATCTGTAGACTTGTCAGTAGTCTAAATTAGTTGTTTATGTTTTTCATTAAAGCTTTTGAGTGGTTACAATTTTTTTCAGCCAAATAAGCTCAGTAGGAATGGATCCTTTATTATGTGTTTTGCCTTATGATTTTAGATATGCAGTTAGTTTATTAAAGGATTAGTTTTTAAAGTTTAAGAATTTGTTTCCTATTTATTCTGTTCTTTTTCTGCATCTCATATTCTTCTCTCCCTCCCTCCTTCCTTCTATTTCACTCTCTCAAGAAAAAAACTTTGAAGTTTTTTCCCAGTATTTTCTGTTCTATACAGAGTAAGGCCAGGATAGGCATGGGTCCCACCATTTCTTTCTGTAGACTCCTTTTTTCCTAGTTTCCATATGGAGAGTGTTGACCTTTAGGTGTCTCTGATTTCTCAGTTTCTGATGTGTTTTCTAAACTATGCTTGGGCTCTCAGGCTCTGTGTCTGCTTCTTTTTAGCTTTAAAATTCTGTGATTTTATACTATTAACTGTCTTTCTACAATTATCCTTGTAACACATAGAACTAAAAGATTGTGTTTTGTAATTTTTGGCTATTCCTTACATGTTTTTAGTCATTTGTAAGTATACAATAATAAGGAAGAGTCTAAAATATTTTGTGATGATTCACATTTTATGTGTGTTGCATATATAACATGCAATTCAAATTTTGCACTATTGACATTATCTTTCCATTTTTATTAATTTGAACAATGCCAAAATGATCGTTAATTATTCTTGAAATAGCTGTGGGTTATTTTGGAAACACTGAACTTAGTAAAAATATTTGACAGCAAAAATCAGTGAAATAACTTATTCATATTA